ACCTTTTAAAATAAATGCATTTATAAAAAAATAAAATATGCTTGGAATAATTACTTAAAATAATGATTTAAAATATGTAAAACTTTAAATATATTATACATGAAAAATTTTAAAATTCACCAAAAGTAACCAAAAAAAAAATATAATAATAATGTTCAGGGCATATTGGGACCGATCCCGGTCTGTATAACTATATATGGACTGGGATCGGTCCGTATATATCATTTAAAAGAAAATAAAAAAACAGATTTATTTTATTTAATAATTACGTAATATTACCAAATAATGTAAAAATATATTTTACCTTTTAAAATAAATGCATTTATAAAAAAATAAAATATGCTTGGAATAATTACTTAAAATAATGACTTAAAATATGTAAAACTTTAAATATATTATACATGAAAAATTTTTAAATTCACCAAATGTAACCTAGGAAAAAAAAATAAAAAGTTACTGTTCTGGGCATATTGGGACCGATCTCGGTCTGTATAACTATATATACGGACCGATCCTGGTCCGTATAATCAATTAGGGAATCTCTGACGTAAAATTTCAGACCGAGATTGGTCCGGATACATATATACGGACCGATCCTGGTCCGTATAATAAATTAATATATACGGACCGGGATCGGTTCGTATATTTTCATTAAAAATAATAATTCATTCCTAATTTTTGTCATTTAAACTTTATTTTTTACAAAAAATAATAAATATACGGACCGAAATCGGTCCGAATATAAAAATAAAATTTCCTATTTTCTAATGAATATATACAGACCGAAGCCGGTCCATATAGATTTCTTTAAATAATATTTTATTCATATTTTTTGTTATTTAATATTTATTTTTTTCAAAAATAATATTCGAACCGTTTTCGGTGTGAATATTATTGGCGATTTTTACTGTGGATTCTCGCCAGAAATATACGGACCGATACCGGTCCGAATATGTTCAGTAGTATACTTTGGACCACCTAAATATGTTCGGACCGATATTGGTTTGGATATTTATTTATTTGGACCAACACTATTCGGTCCGTATACGTCATTTTTCTAGTAGTGTAAAAACCAAAAACCATAATATAGGTGAAGAGAGTGGTTCATGTAATCAGGCATATACCTATGCTTTGCCCTTTAACTTTTCGAGTTTAACGGATTTTGCCCTTCAATTTATAAGTCAAGGTTATTCACCCTTTAACTTATCGGGTTTGAGGGTTTTTGCCCTTTGACCAAATATTTGTTGTTCACATAACTTTACTTCTCCTTTTAAGTACATTCTTAACATTATTGTGTGTAATTATTTTATGGTTCTAATACCAAAAATTTTATTGGGTTTTCGAAACATAACTCAGACTACAAACTAATGTGTAGCTGGTATGTTAAGTTCAGTAAATGTATTAAATTGCTAGTAGAGATAATCTTTGTTTAGCTTTTTTTAAGTCTGTTTAAATCTTCGTTTAAATCTGCAATTGTTCACTTTAACTTTTTAAGATTCTTGAAGAGATAATAATCATCTATATCTTCAACATTACTTATTTTTTCTAAAATATTCACTGTTTTATTCCTATAATATTTGCGTTGTTGCTCATAAACTATTTTATTTACAATTATTTCTTGAATGAAATTAAGCATCTTAAAGCATTACAAATAAGTTCTTAATACAAACTTTTCCATTTAAAATATAAGAGGTTGCGTACTATTTCCCTATTATTTCTAATCTCAAAAATAATTATGTCAAACAATAATAAGAATGTTTCTATGCCCACCGAGCTTCCGCACAATAAAAAGAATAAGTTAGAATTATACCTGAAAATTTCTTAGTCTAGCCTTTGGTCAAACTGATGCCTCCTTTGTTCAACCTTCAAAGCCACACTCTGGCTACACAAGTATTCGAATAAGACTAGTAACCTCACTACTGTCTAAGTATCTTCAGAAATTCTTCTCATTATTTTCTATGATGGAAATTAGGAAGGATAGAAGCACAAGGATTATTCTAAAACATGATTTTATTTCTGAGATGAGAAAGGGAAAGTTCCCTTCCCTCTAGAAGGGTGTTTTACAGATACATGGTAGAAGGCACTCAGATAAGGTATTTGGGTATTCAAATGATCGATACTTGTTACAACTTGTAAGAGGCTTTTTATAGCGCTTCTTATAATCTTTTCTTTCATCATTACTGACGATTAAAGTTTACATTGTTGTTTGGTGATCCAGACTTACTTCTTGCTTTTGTTAAAGCAGATTACATGGAATCTTGTAAACGCTCTTCTTTTTCTTTAGTAACGTAAGCGCTTACATCCTTTTGCATTGGATTCTTCAGAGGATGATGAGATCCTCTTCACTGTCTAAGGGGTTGGTTCCTTCGTCACATGGTGCTTCAACTTTTCCTTTTGTAGATTCTTTTTTGTAGCATAAACCATAATGGCTATCATGCTTTAACAGCTTGCATAGTCTATTATGGATTGCTTTATTGGCTAGGACCAGATTTTCAAGGATTTCCTTTCTTTTCTGCTTTATTTTGAACAAGGTGATGCTTGTCATTAATCTTACACTAGTGGATACCACCGAGATTTCTTTGGAGAAGCCATATGTCCATGTCTTCCTCATCTCTATCATTCCATTAAAGGTTCGGAGCAAAACCTTGAATCCTAAAGCTCATCTCTCTTGGATGAACTCGATCCCACAAAAATACTCTTCAAAGTCTTGAAAATTTTGATTTTCATTCGCTTCTACCTTGATTTTCTTGGACTGGATTCCAATTTGAACTATATGATCGCTAGGGAAATATTGAGATTTCTCCCATTCTAGTGCTGCATAGTAGATGTTGACAAATACTACCCCTTGAGCTTCGACGCCAGTTTTGAAGTCTTTCACTCCTTGGTGTATAACTTTTGGAAGTTCTAAAACTTCTTCATTATCCTTTGAGAGATAAATACAGTTTACAAAACCGTAATTAAATAACTCTTTTATTGCTTTTGAGTTTGCACCTTGTATGAAATTAATTCTGGGATAAATCCCTTCATGGATATGATGGCAATTCCTAGTGGACCTCATTGAATATGCCATTTTACAAACTTTGCAGTATTCCTGTAGATATTCTTCACTCATTGTCATTTTCGTCAAGGTGTTTACTATTGTAGCCTTCTTTTTTTTTTTTTTTTCCTGAGTAATCAAGTTGAAAGTTATGACTTTCGGCATTTTGAATAGTTGGCTTTTCAACTTGAGACGCCCATATTTCTAAGGGAGAGTATTTGACATAATAGTCAAACTTCCCTGAACTTTCTCCAAGTAATCCGATTGAAGGATCACCTTGTTCAAAATCTTCTTTTACCTCTTGTTGGGAGCTTTTCTTTGCCATCTGGCTAGATTTTTTAGAGTTAATTCTGACAGTAGTAATTACTTCAGAACTCATTAATTTTTCTATCAGCTCTTTGACTTCTTCAACGGCATCTTGTCCCTTATTTAATAGCTCATTACCTTTAATAATTTTTTCTTGGCCTTCATCCATGAGGTTATGCCCTTCATCAATTATTTCTTGGCTTTCTCTTTGTCACGCCCCAGAACCCAAATCCGTAGACACGACAGACGTCGTGCACTCGTGAGATGAGTCCCACGAATGCACAAGGCTCAAAACTTATCCAATTCATAATCTGATACCACCAAATCTCAAGATAAAATTTTTACAATCTGCTCTGATATCATAAAATCTCCAAATACACTTTAACTTACAGGATCATAATCTGTATCTAAAATCTATATCAAATTCCAGGTGACTAGCCTTCTAACTCGTCACTCCCCTTGGTTTTCCCGTCCTTAGTTTCGCTTCCTGAAATGGTGGACAAGGAAAACTATGAGATAACTCAGTAAGTAAATACGGATAGCCCTTGGGTAAAACTTTTAAGCATGCCAGATAAACAGTTTAATATAACCAAAACGCTCAGTGACAAAATCAGATTCAGTTCAATAACAAAACGTTTCATGACAAACCGTTACATGCATAAGAAAACTCAGTTCAGTAGTCTCATCTATAAGTCATGGCCAGTGTTTACAAACTCCCACTGGCAGGCGTCAGTAATGGTACCAGTGTTTACAAACTCCCACTGGTAGGCGTCAGTAATGGTACCAGTGTTTACAAACTCCCACTGGTAGGCGTCAGTAATAGTGCCAGTGTTTACAACTCCCACTGGCAGGCGTCAGTAATAGTGCCAGTGTTTACAACTCCCACTGGCAGGCGTCAGTAATAGTGCCAGTGTTTAACCCCATAGGCAGGGTGAACCGGTTCCACAGAAATACATGTTGACATGTGCTAGCGTTTACAGCTCCCACTAGCGGGCGTCAGTAATCATGACTATATCCGAGACAAATCCATGCAAGATTTACAGAAAACCCGAATTTCACAATCAATCCCAATTTCAGAAATAACCAGAAAAATTCCATGTGGGCATGGATTTATCAGAAAACTCAGAATTTGCAAACTCTCAGTTCATCAAAACAGTTCAGTCAATTCCAAATACGCATGCTGTACTCAATACCAATGAAAACAGTTTCATTTCAAACCAATCATGTTCAATTCCAGAAAACAGTGAAATTCTCATAAAAACCATCACAATTTCCATTTCAGTTTAACCACATTCAGATGCTGATAAAATCAATTTAAAATCACTTTAAACCTTGCCACCATCTCAAAAACAATTGAAAACATGCTTTAAAATCGAAGGGCTTTACCATAATTTACTTACCTCACTCGCACAAAACCGAGCACTCAATCTCAATGCTAACTGACAGAACGATCAGGAATCTAATTAAAACACCTCAAAATTAATACCGGACTATCACAAATTCAAACTGAAATCATCATTAAAATCACTCCTAATCCCGATGCTATTCCTATCAATCTCCACATAACTGGACATCTCCACATTCATTCTTATATCACAAACTAATCATTTAAATCCCCATTAATCGTTGAGCCTCGGTGTGTGAACAGTGCCTATGAACAGTACTCGTGAACAGTGCTCACACCGTGAACAGTACTGCCACTTCCAAAAATTAGCAAAACCATAGCTAATCTCACGGGATTTTTCACACAAAACATCACAGCAGCTAATTCAAGCTAAATTCTACTTAATCAAGCTTAAAACACATTTAAAAGGGCTGCCAAATTCATCCCCTATCCCAGCAGATTCGGACAACACAGAGCATCAACTAATGGACAAAACCCAGCCATTAAATGGGTCATTTTAAGCTTGGAAAAGACGGCAACTTACCAGAATTTAGCAAGCAAAACCGAGCCTAGCAGGGGGGGAGAAGCCGGCGGCAGAGAAGAAGAAATTCTGCAGGGGAACTCACGGCTACCCCATCCAAAAACCAAAACACAATTCAAGGTAAACCCAAGCCAAATTAAAGTTGAAAAGGTGAAGTTTATGGTTGTGGCTTACCGAAAAAGGCCCAGAAATTCAAACCCACATGCTGAAGCCGACGGACAGCAGAGGGAGGGAGACGCAGAACAGATCTGGGATTTTCTGGGTTTAATAGGCGTTCTAGAACAAGAAAATAGGGAGAATCCCCAAGCTTTGCCGGATTTCCAGCCGGAAATGGGTGGCGGTGACGGGGGGGTTCGTTGGGGAGGCAGAGCATCGGGGAGAAGAAAAATGAAGATGAAGAAAAGCAAAACACGTGGCTGAGGACAAAAATATCAGCCTTGATCCTTATCCAAATTTCTTTTCTTTTTAGTCCCTAAACTTTTAAAAATTTTACGTTTAAGCCCCGAAATAAAATTTTCCCTCAAATAAGTCCCTAATTTAATGCTAAAATACCCCAAAATTTTGGGATATTACACTCTTATTGGCTATTACCTTCAATGAGTATCTCTTGACCTTTGAGAATAAAGTCTTTCCCTTTATTTTGGAGTTTCAAGATTACATCCACTAGCTCTTTCTCTGCTTAAGAAACCTGCAAGATAATTATTAGTTCCTGTGACATGTTCAATTTCAAAATCATATTCAGCAAAGACAGTTTGCCATCTATTTAACCTTTTATATTTTGGTGTTAAAGGTAATTTATTAAAAACAAATCCCTTAACTTGAAATATTTTGATAATAAGAAGAAACTAAACATTTTTATTTCATTTTTAATAGCCAATAATTCTTTATGATTCGAAAGATATCTTGTTTCTACATTTTTAAATATACCACTAGAATATCTACAAACTTTTTTGTGAGAATTTTTTAAAGCGGCTCCCCAATAAAAATCTGAGGTATCACATTCTAAAATTAACTCTTCATCTTCTTTAGGCAATTGTAACCTAGGAAGTTTTTGCAATAATCTTTTAGTCTTTTAACATGATTATTAGTGTGATAAATTTCCCATTGTTGATTTTTCTTTTTCTTGAGTAACTTTTGCAAAGGATGTCTTAATTGAGCTAGGTTTTGAATAAACTACTCTCCATAATTCAGTATTCCTAAAAACTTTTGAATTTGTTATTTAGATTCTAGCTTATTTGGGAACATCGAAATCTTTTCACTAGTATGAGGTTGTAATTCTATTCCTGTGGAATCTATTGTTAATCCAAGAATTTCAATTTTGGTTTTTCCTATCTTTGCTTTCTTTTCAGAGAGTAATATTCCATGTTTCTTGCATAAATATGCAAATTTCTTAAGATGACATAAAGGTTCTTTTTTATTATCAGAAAAGATTATTATGTCATCTACATAAACTATGTAAAATTTCTTGATGGAAGAAAATACATTATCTATCCTTCTTTGAAATATTTGAGGCATATTTTTTAATCCAAAAGGCATTACTAACCACTCGTAGTGTCTTGTAGGGGTACTAAAGGTTGTTAGTGGGATACTGTTAGGAGTTAGTGGGATATTGTCAGGAGTTAGTGGGATACTGTTAGGAGTTAGCGAGATACTGTCAAGAATTAACTTAATTTGCTAGAATCCTAATTTGCAATCAAACTTTGAATACATATTCTTCCCCTAATGTAATTGATTAGAGTTTCTTTATGTGGTAAAAAGTAACCATCAAATTTAGTTTTACTATTAAGTTGTTTATAGTTGACAACCATTCTAGCTTTTCCTCTTTTTAATTCATTATGATTTGTTACCATAAAGGCAGGACTACTATGCGGACTTTTTGAGGCTCATGTAATCTTTTGGGCTATTAACTCTTGAATTTGCTTATCAAATTCTTCTCTATTTTTAGGGTTATACCTTATTGGTTTGACTCTAACAATAGTTTTTGGGTTTATCAATTTGATGCCCATAGTTTTGTAGGATCTTCTCCATGATTACTTCTTAATTCTTTTGAAATAGATTCTAGGGTTATTTATTCTTGTGTTTTTTCATTATTCTATAATACTAACATTGGTTTTTTAATCTCTTTTGATCAAATTTTTCTATTATCCTCACCATGTTAGCTGCAGAAATTTAATGGTTCCATTGTTTTGGTGTAAGCATTATAAATTCTAGAGGCATAAAGCCAATGTCCACAAGGTGTATAAAATCTTACATTTGATGCAGTTTGAACATACTGCTTGAATTCACTTAGGAAATTGTTTCCTAATAGAATATGGTTCGCATGTTTGTTACTTTCGTAGACTTGGGCAATTATAACTTCAGTTCCACCAATTATGGCAGTAACTCTTTCTATTATTGTTTTATATTGAATAATGCTTCCATCTATGGCTACACTTTTCATAGTTTAAGAGGTGTTCTTCCAATAATATTTTGGGAATACATTGGTTTTTGCCAAGCATATCCCAGATCCTGTATCTATAAAAGCATGAAAGAATTCTATTTTGTATTCTTTATACTTAATTCCAACGGATATGTATATATTGTAGATACTAGTTTTTGTAGTATCTTGGTATAATTACTTCTTTTCCACTTAAGGTAATCTTTAGACAATGTTCTTGGATGTTATAGGGTTGTATTGATGTTAAGAATGTGTTTCTTAGCATCAATTTTATATTTGCAGTCATTTCTGTTTTAGCATGAGCTGTTATAGTAATTTCATGTTGAGTTTTATCTTTATCTTCTATTCGAAGAGGTACTTTAGCATATTCATGTACTATGGTCATTGCACCATTAAAGTTGTAATATGTATATGGTTTAGTGAGTTCAAATCTTTGTAGGTGTGGAATCATATCACTATGGATATGTGTTACTCCTACTCCTGTATTTATTAGAATATAAATGTTATGCCATTCCTTCCCATCATAAAAGTCTCCTTTTATTTTGAAATGCCTAAAAGGAATCTTTAATGTATCTAACACCACCTCATGTTTTATACTTGTAATACCCCAAAAATTTTTAGAATAAATAAGTGTGAGTTAAGGACTAAATTGTGAAAAAATATTGTTTTGGGCTTGATAGACAAAATATCCAAAGTTGAGGGACTTAAAGAGGCAAATTTTGGATAAGGATGAGCTTCTTTTCTTTTTTTTCTTTTTTCTTTTTTGTTTCTTTCTTTTCTTCCTCAGACCCGCGCCTGCTCTTCTTCTTCTCCCCGTTGCAGCCACCCGAAAGAAGAAAAAACAGGGAACCCAGCCATGCTTTGAGAAACCGGTGAGAAAGCTTGGTTTTTGTCCTTCTTTTCTTGCTCTAGAACACAAATTGAACCCAGAAATTCCCCCCCCCCCTCTGCAGGAATCCCGGATCTGCTCTGCTCTGCTCCTCACCGCCCGCTGCTCCTGCTTTGTGGGGGCGAATTTCTCTGATTTTGGGTAAGAAACAGCCCTGAATCTCCCTTCTCTAGCTTTAATTGGCTTGGGTTTACTCTAATTTCCCTTGATTTCTCCAATTTTCGGTAGTTTCCCATGAATTTTCTGCACTTCCCGCCGGCCTCCCCAAGTCACAACTCCGGTTCTTGCTGGATTTATGGTATGTGACAGCCCCTTTGAGCTTAAAATCATCCATTAGCTGCTGAATTATCCATGAATTTCTGCCCCTGTGCTGTCCGGATATTTTTGTTGAATTAAGGGATAAATTCCGGTAGTAATTATGATAATTTAAGCATTAATTCAAGTGGAATTTATATGATTGAGTGTTAATTGACTGTAACGGGAACTTAAATGTTTAGTTTGTAATATAAGAATAAATTTGGAGATGTCCGGTATTTTGATTAAATGTTCCGAGTATTTTGATTAGGGTTCTTGATCGTTCTGTCAGTTTAGCACTAAGATTGAGTTTTCGGTTTTATGCGAGTGAGGTAAATAAATTTATGGTAATACCCGTACAGTTTTTAAAAACATGTTTTGACTTGTTTTTGAAATGGTGGCGGGACTAAACCCGTTTTATACAAGTATGATCGATTGAAATGAAATTTTTATGCTTTTCATTAAATTGAGCATGCTTACTTGAAATTTAATTGATTGTCCTGATGATTTGAAAGTGATAGGTGAATTATGATTTTTTTGTTAACTTCAGCCTGTTTTGTCTCCGATGTAGTCATGTTATTAGTGACCCTGCTAGTGGGGATTATACACTAGTAAATCATGTGCCTGCTAGTGGGAGGTTTATAACACTGGCCGTGACTTATAGAGGAGACGTCTATTTCGTTCTCGTACTGTATCCGTTTTTCGTGATTACACTTGTTGGCATGCTATAAGTTTAATAAGGGGCGCTTCATATTTACTTACTGAGTTTATCTCAGTTTTTCCTTGTTCACCATTTCAGGAAGCGAAACCGAGGATGGAGAAACCACGGGAAGTGACGAGTTAAAAGGCTAGCCATATTATAATTGATATAGATTTTAGATATAAATCATGATCTTGTAAGCTAGAGTGTATTTGGAGATTTATGATATTAGAGCAAATTTTAAGATTTTATCTTCAGATTTTGTGGTATCAGATGTGAATTGATTAACTTCCGAGCCTTGTGCATTTGTGGGACCCATTTCACAAGTGCACGGCATTTGTCGCGCCTCGAATTCAGGTTTTGAGACATGACAATACTAGTCATTCTAGTTAAGACCTATTTATTTTTCTTACAATAGCATAAAGCTCCTAAGTCTATATTATTTCTATGGCTTGACTCAGGTTCTATTTTTACTAATAGTTTTCCTAACTCATATGCCTTTAGTCTAGGTTTTTTTCTTTCTCTTATTAAGAATGGTTTTTCATTAATGTTTATTTCCCATTCTTTGGGTAGTTGTATCATTTATAGTTTTTAAATTTGTCCTATTTCAGATAACATAGGATCTAGTTCAATATATTCTTTATCTTTGAAAAGATTAGTTTTATTAATATTTCTATCATTAATGTTTACAACACGTTTTGGATATACTGTAAACATAAGCTTTGTGTAACTAAGGTTACCTTGCACTAATCCAAGGATAGCCTCCTTTCTATCATTGATTCTATTGTCTATTAAACCTAATTTTATAGGGGTGTCTATCCCTTCCCTAAAATGAGCTTTAATGGGTATTTGTATTCCTCCTATGTGGATAAAACCTATCTTGGATCTATTGGTCTCTTTGATTTTTGATGATTTGTTTTCTATTTCTGCCTTGATAATTAAGGCAAAAATATGACATAAGGACCCGAACTTACACCAAATTCGCAATTTCAGACCCAAATTTCGATTGCGCTCAATGAAGGTCCCGAAACTCCATGAAATTCTCAAATAAGGTCCCAATTGGACGAAAAACTAACTTCCGTCAAATCTCTTATTATTCCGTTAATGTTCCGTCACATTTCACACCCGCCCTTAAAAAAATTTGGTTAAATGCTAATTTTGGTCCCTCAACTTCATTGAGTTTCACTTTTTTGTCCCTCAACTTTATTAAATTTCACTTTTTTGTCCCTCAACTTCATTAAATTGCACTTTTTTATCCCTCAACTTTATTGAATTGTACTTTTTTGGTTTATAAACTATTTTTTGTATTTTTTTGGTCCTTAAATTATTTTTTTACACTTTTTTAATCCCTTAACTTTAATAACTGCACAATTTTGATACTTTCATTAGTTTAAGCCATTAACTCCATCCACTTGGTATTTTTTATATTTTTTGATGACATATAATCTAACTGGAAAAAAATGATAACATGGATAAATAAAATAACATGTAGATAAATCTTTATATTTTTTATAAAAAAAATATAAAAACCTCTCTACGTATTTTCTTCCCCCTCTTTCTTTCTCTTTCTTCTAGCGGGGGAAGAAAATAGGTAGAGAGGTTTTTTTATTTTTATTAAAAATATTAAAATTTATCTAAATATTATTTTATTTATCCATGTCATCATTATTTCTAATTAGATGATCTATGTTATTATTTTTTTCCAGTTAGATTATATATGTCATAAAAAAATATAAAAAATACCAAGTGTGTAATACCCCAAAAATTCCAAGCACATTAAGTTGAGTTAAGGACCTAATGGTGAAGAAACATTATTAATGGACCTAATTGCCAATTTTTCAAACTTCAAAGGGGTTAAATTCTTATTGGATAAGGCCGGCTAACTCACTCTTTTTTTCTTTTTCTTCTTTCTTTCTTTCTTCCCCCAGCCATTTTCGCGTCTGCTCTGTTTTCTTTCTCCCTGCAGCCGAACACCACCAGCCTTCACCACCGTCTACTCCTCTTGGGAACTTGGTAAGATCTTGGTAAATTCCTTCCCTTTTCTTGTTGAACAACAAAATTTAAAGCTTAAAACTCTCTCCCTCAACCCAGGAATTTCGGATCTGCTGCTTTCTTCCTTCCCTGCCGCCGGCCACAGCTGGGTGTGAGTTCGGTTTTCCTG